TTGAGCACAAATAGCGTAAGGACATTCCATGATGCACAAAGACGGATTAATGTGGGTTTTCAATGCCATATTTGAAATTTAAGAACATATTGACACATTCAGACCTGACCATTCTGATAACCTAGCCTAGATCTCCAAAAAATTAAAAAAACAACAGAATGACGATGATTTCAATATGTTCTCAAAAGTGCAAAAATGACCTGAAAGCATCAAAACGATAAATTAATTTAAGTTTACCATGTCATGCATAAGCAAAGCATCCACCGGAAATGGGATGCCCCGCGATTGTGGTTTAGCCGGAATTTACGTATTTTCGTCAATCTAAGCAGCGTCCGTGCTTCTAATAGGAATTTTTCAACATCACGTACACTTATGTATGTCGTGTTTGTTGTTAAACTTTATTTGCTGCTTGCTGCTCTACCCATTTAAATAGACAGAATTGTCCAAACGAGCTTGAAAATGTTTCTACAGTGCTCCAAATTCTCAGGTGAGTGTGACTATTGTCGGCAGCTTTTCCATTTGAACTACATGTTAACCAGCTGTTCTATTATCGGCAACTCGAAATCAGCCACATTTTGCAAAACTTATATTTCATTTATAGAAAAACCTGGCATAACAGGAATGATTAGTCTATAAAATGTAACTAGATTGAAACTGAAAGACTGAGGAATCATTTGAATACATTCAGCGATGAGTTTTGGTGAGAAAATATAGTGAAATTATTCAAATTTGGGTTGCCGAAAACAGTCAACGGGTACCGAAGCCATCATTTATCCTACCTGGTTTCTCAGTTTTCTGGGCCGCCCAACCAACGTTAGCAAAAATTTAATGGAGTAATGCTTTGAAAGCTATTTAATTATTTGTTCTCATATAAACTGTCACAATCTGGTCCTAATGAAAGTTTTTTACAACATTTAAAAGGTTAGTGTTATATTTACTGCGTGGAAGGTGAAAGTTGAATCCTGTTGAACGCATGACAGCTTGAAATGATGTTCGAAAAAAGATGCTGCTACGAAGTGTGCTGTAACGAGCATGATTGTTGATGTGACTTAGAAGCATTGGACCAGTTTCAGGTCAAATAATATAAAAAATAGAAAATCAAGACTAGACCATCTCCGATTTGTATAAAACTTTGCATAATTATGTGTTATGGATAATCATCCACATTTTTGCAAAAAATCGACCATTTTGGATCTTGTATTTTTTTAATAAAATGCCGTATTGGACATTTTTCAATAAAACACTAAAACGTAACTGATTATCGAAATTACGTCTGAAACAAAGTTGTTTTGAAAAGTATAGTAATTCTGGGAGGAACACACGGTATTTATTTTTAGTAATTTTGAAAAAAAACACTGAACTAGCTGAAAACTTATATACATCTCCAATATTTTTAGTTTTATGCAAATCAGAGAGTTGTTCGGATTTGTAATTTGGCATAAAAACTGCTCATTCGACAGGCAGTTCTTGTCATCGAGGTATTGGAAATCTAAAATATCACGCGATAGATCTGTCCGTACGTGCAGTGTGTTGAGGCCAGAGGTGGTAACAGTACATTTTTTGAAAAAACATCGTCCAGAGCGAAACAAAACAGCCAGCACACGGGCGGCCGTTTATAACTACATTCCAAGCGAACAGCGGAGATAGAGAATAAATAAAATTTCGCAGCCTGATTTTTCCAAACAGTTTATTGTAATGAAATTTTAGCTGCAGGCCTGCGTGTGACAGTAAATTACCAACTCCCTTATTTACGCATAATTTTAACATCAATGCTTATGAGTGGTCAGTCTTCATTCTTATATTTTAATTCCATGCAATAAACATCAAATAAATGCAGTAATTAGCCAGAAATCAGCAAAATTCTACACGACATAAATTTGTGTCGCGCGCGCCGCCGGTCTTGTCTGCTTCTTTGTGCGAAAATGTTCTGTCGCTGGCAGAAAACAGTTTAGAAATGTCATGACATTTTTGCCGCTTGCCAGTTTGTTTTTGTGTGTCGTCACAATGGTTTTCGCAAAAAGTATCAAATGTTAAGGAAAAAATGTTAAACTCCAGGACTCGTGCCACCACTGGTTGAGGCCAAAGAGTGGTACACGCTGAGCTTCTGATGTGGATTATTCCAAGGTAGAAGACGGATAGCGAACTGCACAATCCTTCGTTGAACTGCCTTCTTTTGACTGGGTTCGTTTTGTCCCGTTGAGGTAGTAAGGGTTTCACACCGCAGAGAAACACTCCAACGTACATCATACGTACAATCAAGGCTCTTCGAGCAATACACATCAGTGAAATCCGTGGCCATTCTTATGATGAGACTCAGATTTTGGGATTATTTGTAGAACGTAGAACGTGAGTTGTGCATCAAGAAATACTTCTAAATCCTTGACACAGGATTATCTTTTAACACTCTGAACACGATACCTCCCGTAAAATGTGCATCGACAAACTTACAATGTTTTAAAAATCATAGCTCAATCATTTATTGACGACTTTCAAATCTATTGGCACCATTTGATGCTCTAAAGATTTATTCGGTATCAATAGATTAAAATTCTAATGAAATATAGAGTAATTATTTTTCAAGCATTTCCAATTTACCGATACACATTTTACCGGAGGCATCGTGTTCAGCGTGTTAGTTGGAGTCGACCCTGGTAAGTTTTTTTTTTATTTCTTGTAAACGAACACTTATGTGGATTCAATACTATCTTGTCAATGTATGGTATGAAACCACGTTTTGTATCAGCGATATATTGCCTGTATTGCTTGAATATTGGCACTAAGACCACCAATTCGAAAAGCTTGGTCACAGCGCTTAAGGCAGAGATTTCTCTTTTTCAAAAGATCTACGAGAATACCAGCTAGTCCAATAGATGATGATGGTTCAATTTTGGTTATAGTCGAACGGTTCATTGAATCGTCAATATTGATAACATTGATTACTCGCTGCTGAGGAAATTTGAGCTTGTGCCAATATCTCAGAGCAAATCTCGCAAATATCTTGGGCATTCAACTTCGGTCGTTTACCGTATGCCATCATTGACGGTCATATTTTATAACATTATTTTATAAAATGTGAGAAAATTTCTAAAGATTACTAATTTGCCGACAGGCGTAACGTTCATGTAAGGTCACTTAACTCAATTGGAATATTCCTCGAATATTAAGCCATTCCCTTTGACATTGTCAGATTTTCATTTCCCAGAACGTTCGCTTTAATGAACTGAATCGAAACATTGCATAGTTTTTTTTTAAATTCTTACATCAAACATCTCTCCACATAGACAATAACCAGCTTCTCTGTCCTGCTACGAATTAGATATGTTTTGAAATTATTATGTCAGAAACCCGCATCATCAACCTCCCTCAAAACTAACCACCCAGGCCATGAACCAACTCCTTGAAAGCTCCCATCCCGTCCCGCAGACGCGTTCCGAAGATAAATGAAAGAAACCCTCCGGACGTACCACCCAATCGTTGTTTATGATGGAAACTTCCTGTGGGCTCGCTCGTCTCCGCACTGACTGCTGCAGCCTTGTAGCAATAGAAGCTTTATCATTTTGCTTCTCCGGATGCCGCCTCGTTTCCCTCGCTGACTTCCTCCCATATCCCAATATCCTGAGCTCCTAAGGCCACATGGCCTGGTTTTAATCCGCACCCATGCCAACCATTTTCATCCATTGAATGACTCATCTCAAAGGCCAGTCGTCGGTACCTTCAAGAGTCACAGGTCAGACTGCAACAACCGTATAAAGTCGAAGAGAGCAAGCGTGTGAGTTTGTCTTCTGTGCGATGTCTTAATAGATTTACGAGAGGAATTTTGATTTATGGTATTATTTTGTTTACGGTAGCAAAGTTTCGCTTTTGATTAGGACTTTCTTCTGCTCGTCCGGTTTTAATAAATATCTGTTCACCGAGCGGCAGCCAGCGGTGGCGCCTGGAAGGGAATCATAAATCTTTGTTTCATAACAGCTGATGGGACAGGACGGGATGGCGAGATGGCAAACAAAAAATTGATGAGATAATTTAACTGCTCTGCTGGGCTGGTCTCTAGGCGAGATAGATGCTTATTTTTTTCCTTCTCACACTTTTCGCACATCGCAAGTACATTTTTGCCCCCCACTACTGCAGCCTTTGAACATTGAAGAAATGAGCGCGCGTGCAGGAGCTTACTTCCAGCTAAAAGAAAAATAAGTTGTATGTGTTGCTGTTGTAGACCGTTTTTTACTTGTTACTTAAATATGAATGTTGTTTTTTAATCGTTGTGGATTAGACCTTGTGACCAGATTCAAACCAACAATCGATAGCTACTCTCTAGATGGTACACATTTAAACGTGACTGAGATTCTTAGATATGTTCGTAATTCGCTTAACAGTTTTAAACTTTTCTTGTTTTATTTATATTTTAATGTAATTTTACAGCATTGATGGTGTACATGTACCTTTTTATTATATCCCGACTTTGTTTTGTTTATCTTATTAACAATCTCTTAACCGATCAAGTGTTGTGTTTTGATTTGATTAATCCTCTCTGTCTTTACGTAAATCCGACTTTTTCAGCGGAAAAAAAACTTGTATAAAGCTGTTTTCTGAATGTTTGCAACACTTCCTAGTGTTACTAGTTTACTTTCTTCTAAAAAAAAATACAAAACACCAGAATACTCGAAAGCAAAATTTATTAATTTACTTTTTCTTCTTTTTCTCTTTTCTTTTTACGTGAATCCCCTTGTTCTCACTGTCCCAATCAAAAAACAAACCGATCCCAATCGACCGCAAAAACCGAAAATCAATTCCTATTCCTGACCGCTGTGTGACTGTGATTGGAAACAAACAAAAACAAACACGCACCACCACTGACCACTGATCCTCCAACATCACACCTTTAATCCTGAAACGATCTTCCACCATTCCCCCTCCCCCCCACCCTTGCTCTCGCTAAAACACGTGCAATCAAAACCACCAAACAACCACCAATAAAAAAAAAAATCAACAACAACCACTAGATCGAAAGCTTTTCGTTGGCATGCTTAGCAAGCAGCAAACCGAGGAGGATGTAAGACAGTTGTTTAACGCATTCGGAGCCATAGAAGAGTGCACGATACTGAGAGGACCAGACGGTGCCAGCAAAGGTGAGTCGAATCAATCCTTTTTTTTTCGTATCGTTCGATTCTTGTTTGCTAGTTGGTTTCTACTCAGAGGGAAATCACCGATAGAATAGAAAACCGTGAGTTTGGTTGTAACCTGTTTGGTGATGTGCTACAAGATCGAAGCTAGGATGGATTCCTTTAGAAGGCAACAGCTTGGCAAATTGAGAACTGAATATTTTCTGTACAGGTTTTATGTAGTGGATTGTGAGTAATTGTTTGAATGATTTACATGTGTGTTCAAGTGTTGGATTGTTGAAAGTGTGTTACTAGATCAGATGAAGCTTGTTTTTCTTTTGCTGGAGCGATGGGACTAATGACAAGAAGGTTAAATCTGCGAACGAATGCTTCGACGAAAAGCAGATTTAGTTTGTTCAGATGAACTATGTAGGCATTTTTTTGGAAAAATTTCACTCCTTATACCCGGGTAATAACCGGGGATACACTATATCTACTTTGGGCCACTTGGAACGTGCTCATCATCAATAGGTTTGTTATCGTAAACAGAATTTATTTGTTTTCTTCAAGCACTATACATTCAATCTTATGTAGACAATCGGGCTTTTTCATAATATATTCACGCCTTATCAGCGCCTAATATAAGCTGGAATGCTTAAAATGTTACCTTGGCGTGTTTCTCGTCTCGGGTTCGTTCATAATGTGAGATTTGACAATGACATTTTAGTGCATCAATTCCACCCTTGGTAGCACGACTTCTTGTTTACCTTTGTTAGATAAACTTTGAAAGTGTGTACTCAGAATATGTTCTCTAGTTCCATCAATTACCAACTGATGGAATACTTAGTTTGTTTCGATCCAGGGACTTTTCTTAAATATCTCACCATTATAACAACGTAACGTTTAACAACACAGAAAAAAATCTGAGCTTTAATCATAGCGTAAAATCTTCTCTCGTTTAATTTTAAACCATATTCGGCATAAACTACGAAATTGTTTACGAAATTGTGCATAAATTAACATGAAAAATCGTGTGCGCTATATATAGTTTAAAATAACAAGAATTTTTCAAACGGCGAACAACATTAATAAAACCCTGGTCAAGACTTCTATATCTTTATTACATCCACCAAAACATTATTAAGACAATAATCTGTCTAGATGGCCCACAAGGTTGGCGAGGTTTCGAAGGGTATATTTAAGAGGCTTTTCAAGTTTGATTCGCTGCAAAATGGTTAAATGATGGTTTCATTGAAAAGCATTTGAAACCCATATTTAAACTGGCATCAATAAAAACCAATAGGCCTATATAATTTGGCTTCTCGTGGCTATCTTGAAAAACGTTTTGATGATGCAGATTTAAAAATTTTGCACGCCGGGGTATGGGAGAGAAATTTTAAAACGTTTATATTTAGAATTAAGTAGTACGAATTAAATCGCAATCTACCCATATAAACCATTTTTATCCACCGGAGACAAACCAGCTCATGGCTGAAAGTCTCCTAAATAAAGATATTAAAAAATTGTTATCAAATATAAAACTTCAATAAAAATAAACAGAGAAGTATTATTAAGTAATTTCCATGTAATTCCACTACCTTCTTCAGTGTCTTCTCGAGTATAAGTATTAGTACGGAAGTCGAGTATTAGTACAAGATACTGAAGAAGTCTGCAAATTGAAGACGAAATACGCGCATTTGTCAAGGATATGCAATTAAGGAAGTGGAATTAAATGGACATTAATAATCCTTCTCTCTTTCTTCATACAGGTATTCCAATAAGACGCCTACATTCATCAGAATAAAATGTTAATTGAGTAGCCCCGTAGAATCGTCATAAATAAAAATAAAAGGTTAATTTGAGAAATAGAAGCATTTTAAAATTTCAATCTTATACCTCACCGTGCAAAAATTGGAAATCTGTAGCATCAAGTAGTTTTTCAAAATGGCCGCGTGAGGCCAAGTTTTTAGGTCTTTTTAATTACTACTTTATTGGATAAGGCACTATTGAATTAACTTTACAGAGCCGAGGATACTGGTTTACTATACAATACATATAGACCTATAGACAACACAATAAACAGTTCATTATCCGCTATCCAATAAGCCTCCTACATTAGAACGGGAGCTGATTCCAGTTCATTGTTTGGCAGTATCAACAACGGGGGGCTAGGTACTTTCATTGCAGCAATAGACGCAAAACGTGGTCAGCACTCACACACTTATCACGAAACGGTTGCTTTCCAAAGTCGACGACGCATCGACCGAAAGAATTGCTGATGAAGAACAATGAGGAAGACCACACAATAGTTGCTGCCGAGTAAACAGACGATCGCGTGACGCACATCAAGAGTTATTTGCTTAAATGTCATCCAATCTTGACAAATAGTAACACAAAACTAGTCGAAAATACATTTTTAAGACTTACCTTACCAATCAGGCTAAGGCCTTGATATCCTCTGCTGTCTGAAGAAGTCGTATCCACTCTACTCGACCCATGGCCACACTTCGCCAGCCTCGTAGTCTGCCAAGGGTCCGCAGGTCGCCTTCTACTTGGTCGATCCACCTTGCCCGCTGCGCGCCTCTTCTTCTTCTTTTTCCTGTTGAGTCGCTTTCGAGAACCATTTTCACTGGGCCGTCGTCCGGCATTCTTACGACGTCCCAGCCCACCGTAGACTCCCAATTTTTGCAATGGGAACGATGGATGGTTCTCCCAGCAGCTGATGCAATTCGTGGTTCATTCGCCTATTCCACGTTCCATCATCCATATGCACTCCACCGTAGATGATACACATCACCTTCCGATCGAACACAACAAGGACGCGTTGGTCCTCTACGAGCATAGTCCAGGTCTCGTGGCCGTAAAGGACCAACGGTCTAATCAGCATCTTGTAGATAGTCAATGCATTTTTCTGCTGGTATCATTTTCAGCGGTCACCAGAGGCTAACATTGTCTTCCCTACAACCTCTTCCTCGTTGATGAGAGGTCATCTAGCTTCAGCCTTCAGTCTGATGTAAGTTTCCGCCATCGTCTCAAAGTTCTGCGCCATGAAGTTAATGTCATCGGTGAAATTGTCCTGGAGTTCAGATCTTGAAGTTATATAGATTCAACGAGGTATTGTACGATTTTGACTAAATATATGAAACCAAAAACCTAAGGGTTCAAGTTATCCTGAGGAATATGTCGGAATGATCTAAAGGCTCTACAAACTCTTGTATGATATCAAAATTTATTTTACAAATCCATGGGCTCTCTTCACATCAAGTGAGAAATGAATAACAGGCATAAAATCTCTGATCAAGTCTTCCTTCGGAAGGGAAGTAAAGCCGTTGGTCTCCGGTCCATGAGCCGATAGGTTGATAGGTAGGGTCCAGGTGTGGGAGCTGCCTCCTTGACATTAGCACTCAGTACGGAAAACAAAATCGACGGGAAACAAATAAAAAAAAAAAGTTGCCCTGAAGATTGAACCTTAACGTTATACAGGCTAAACAAACTATTGTCCAGATTTATTAAAAAAGGCTTAGTTGAGCCCCACTTATCATGTGGAATATGTAGTTGTAATGACAACATATTTGGGAATCTCCAAGTTATGTAGAGTTTTGAATGTTTATGTTCTACAGACTCAACAAAGTATTGCCTAATGTCCAGAGTTCCCCGTAACGTGGATAGATACCTTTTCGTGGTACGTTACGGGATGCTAGATCTATCACTGATTCCTAGTCCTGACTAATTCAAACAAGGGGAACAGTATTTTTCAATAATCCTTGTTAATTATTTTGTCTTGTTGATAGTGACAAGAATCGGTTTTGTCCACCGAGGATGATCTTAAAACAAGGAAAAAATGAGATAGTTAGTCTTCATCTATGTGATTCCTAATCTTCTATTCATTGTTCTCTAGTTTGAAGTGGTGAGGCTAGGATTCTGATGCATGGTAATTATCGGTGTCATTGCTTAATTTTGCTGCTAAGGAATCCCATTTTGACTGACAAAGGGGCGCGCCTTTCGAGGGTGTTCCAACACTCCGAAGGGTATAAATAGCGGGACCTTTCAATTAGAGTCAATTCCTTGCGATGAAGGTAAGAATGAAAACTGTATCGAAACTGAATACTTCATCATTTCTCAATAGTGATGGAGCAATACGACATGCACTAAACTAAGGACACGGGATGTACTACAATAGATCAAATCACTGATCGAAGTGGTTTTATATACCAAACAGAAGGAAAAATGTCCAGATTTATGATTTAGACCTCATCATATCAAGTGAGATAAGAAGTTGTACATGGAACATATTTTCCATTCTCCAAATTGAAGTTCAGATCTAGATGTTCTACAGATTCAACGAGGTAGTGTACGATGTCTTGACTAAATGTGTAAACCCAAAAAGCTTCGTGGAGCTCTATAATGTCATGTGGGATAGCTGTGATGACAAAATATGTCGGGTTTATAAGGGGGTCTATGAAGTTCTACGAGTTCAAAAAGCTTGGCCGAAGCATCGTACAATATCTCGTTGAGTCTGTAGAATCTGTTGTAGTCTGTAGAATATGTTGGGATATAAGGGGGTCCATGATTAATATCTCGTTGAGTCTGTAGAATTTCAAGATATGAGCTCAACACATATTTTTCAATCTTTCATAAATCGGTAAGGTCCCATGTTGCTTCACGGATTCAAATGATAAGTCATGACGCCGTACAAAACAATGATTAAGTCTGTAGAGTTTCACGGTATGAACATCAGGATGATTTGAAGGACTCGACTACGTCTGTGATTTCTATATGGGGGTACACTTTGTGAAAACCGACAATGGAACATGTAACAACATTATGAAAGATTTTGAACGTTAATAAGTCAGCTGCCCCTGCACCAATTTCAATAATTTTATCACCAATCGATCAGAAATATATCTACGCATCTTTTAAAAATTTACGACTTCATATTTTTTTTTAAATGTCACTATAGAAAATTGCACGAATTTGCAGCTGTTTCTATGATAATTAAAATTATAACCGATTGGGTCTGAAAAACG